TCTTTTACCTATAGTACTGTTTATTTTATGAAGTTGGGTGCACCAATTTTTGGTGCATATGTGTTTATAATTGCTATCTCTTCCTGTGGAACTGTTTCCTTAACCAATATATAGTGATTTTCTTTGCTTCTTCTGATCCCATTTTGGCTTGAAATCCCTTTTATCAAAAAATAGGATAAGTATTCTTGGTTTTTTTTAGGGTTCCTGTTGCATGCAATATTTTTTCTGTTCTTTGATTTTTTTGTTTATGAATTTCTTTTTAGGCTAAATGTGTTTCATGTACACAGGATACTGTTAGATTTGGGTTTTTTGATCAAATCTTTCAATCGGTGTCTATTCATTGGGGAGTTGAAACCATTCACATTACAAGTTATTACTGAAAATGTTGATTTATTCTGTCATTGCATTTTTTTGTTGCTGTTTCCTTATTTTCCATCTGCTGTACTTCTTGCCCTGCTTAATTATTCATTTCATTAGACTTTTAAACATTGTTGGCTTCATTGCCTTTTCTAGGATATCTTTGGAAGTATTTTGTAGCACTGGCTTTGTGGTCATGAATTCCTCAAGGCACACTTCGTTGTGTAAAGGCTTCATCTCTCCATCAGTTTGGAGATACTTTTTAGGATGTATCAGTCTGGGTTGGCAGCTGTATTCTCTTAGAGCTTGAAACATTTCATTCCAAGTTCTCTTGGCCTTGAAGGTTTGTGCTGAGAAGTCTGTGGTAAATTAATGTAAATTAATATACTTGTCATATAAGTCAGCTGTTTGGCATTTGATTTCCTCCTCACTGATGCCCTATGGATTAGATAGGGAGAGCTAAGTTTTTGAAAGCAATTTGTTGCTTTCTTTTCCTGTTTTTCTATTTTTTCTTGCTAGTTTGTTTTTCATTACTAATGCTCCTGGTTGATTATAGTGGATGGACTTTGTTGTCAGTATAGAGATTCTTTAGTTAGTGTCTGAGGTTCAGTGGATAACTATATATGGATAACTATAGGTCTTTGCGCCCTTTACTATATCCAACAACCTTCACTAAGTTGAGAGGAAGGGTGCAGTGTAATTGGCCTAGCACATAGTTCTCCAGAAATGAATCACAGCATTTTGACAAAGGACAAAGAAGATGCTGGCAAACAGTAGAAACTAACTAATAGGAACAACTATGTCATTCTGACAGTAACAACAAAATCAGCAGTGCTAATAAAATCACAGACAAACTGGATATTGACATATCATAACAGTCAATAAAAACCCTAAGTGTACCACCCTTAAACATGCAAAAGAGATTTATAATTATAATATAGGCACAGAGACAAACCAAATATTGACATACAGTTAATATCTAGTAAATTCAACAATGATATCACCATTGACAATATCACAAAATCAACAGTAATAGCATAGAGTTAACTAAATATCTAAATATTAATAAAGCATAATGATACATTAGCAAAGATGCAGGGAGTGGGGAACAGGAAAATGAAAGAAGTAAATTATAAAATTAAATTTTAAAATGAGGAGAAGAGAAAAGTGATATAAAGGATCTTATTAAGGAGTAAAAGGAAATTAATATAATTGGTCATAAAGTAATCAAAAAGAACAAATAAGATAAAGCAAAGAGTAAAATTAAAGAGAGAAAAACAAGGAAGAGGAAAGACCCAAACTCTCAAAAATCAATGAAAAAAAAGAGAAAGAAATAAATTCAATTTTTTTTTTTTCTCTCTATGTTTGAATGAGTGGTTTCTTTTTTGGGTCTCAGTATTGGAATCTACCAGATAGGAAGGAGGACTAGAGTTGCTGATAAGTCTTATTTTGTTTCCACATTCATTTCTCTGTATGAATGCTGAATGCTGCCCTACCTTTCTCACTAGGTGTGTCCACCCCAAGGCCGGCGTCATTCTAGCAGCTGTTTCTGTACCCCTCTGTGTGCCTTAAGATATAGCTTTCTCTGTCCAGGTTTAGGGTCTGTAGATTTGTGAGCTGTCCCCGCCCCTGCTCCAGACACCGCTCTGCCCATACACCCCTGGCTGTGGCAACTGTTTAAACTAAACCATATCCTTGTTCACACTGCTTTATGGGGAAAACAAACAGACCGCTGAGTTCTGTGTTTTTGTAGAAAGCAGAGCAGGTGTTCAATCAGAGTACTGGACTTAATGCCAGCACTTTCAAACCCACTCTTCTCTAAAATCCACACACAACAAGTCTGGCTGCCCACTGTGGAGGGTAAGGCCCCTGTGTCTTTCCCAGCCTGAACTTAAACTTCTCGGGGTAGACGTTATGTCTAGCCCATGCCCTCTTCATGACTGTCTCTTGCGGTCAAATGCCACTCAGTCACTGTGGTAGAATGAAACCAGAAATCCTGAAGTATAATTGTTCTGTGGTTCAGTCAGAAACAACTCACCTCTTCCAAAAATAGCTCTTGAGTAAACCTTCTCAAGTATAATAGGCACAGCACTGAATTTCTCCTCCAATCCTTCAATATCTTTTTAATTTTTTTTTTTTTTTTTTTTTTTGGTACTGGGAACCAAACTCAGGACCTTGCGCTTGCCAAGTAGGCGCTTGTGCCACTGAGCTATATCCCTGGCCCTTATCCTTCTAAATGTAACACTCTTCCTTTTTGATTTGCCTAATATTGTTTCACAATTGGATTCATGTTACACATTCTTGATTGGAATACTACATATGTGATATTGCCTACTAGTCATAGTATTTCAGGGGAAGCATACAATATCTATGTGTTCCTCAATAGTTATGATGTTAAATTTGATCACCTGGTCAAGGTTTTGCTCAGTTTCTCCAGTGTATGATTATCCTTTTTATCTTTCCCTGTAAGTAATGAGCACTCTATAGTGAGATACCTCAAGCCATTCAAAAATCCTGTAACTCCTCAAATTTTCCCACTGGATTTAGCATTCCTAGATGATTCTTGCCTCATCTTATTTTCACTGTAATTGATGCAAAATATTGATTTTATAACCCTAGAACTCCATCTAAAATAATCACTCAGCATTTAAAATGCTACTAATGGCAAAAGTTCACTGTCTCATCCACCTATCTATCTATCTGTTATTGATACAGACTCATATATTCCTAATTATAACTGACTTATTACTGCATATAATTTTGATTCTCATATCCTACCACATTTGGCCAATGGGAGATCCTCAAACTGGCCCTTGTATGAAGAATGTTTCTATGTCTTCTTATTGATCAATTCCTTAAACTCTAGCATGACAACATATTCAAGACTCATCTTGATTCAGCTATCTTCAACAAAGGCCCATCTAAAGTGCATGAGGCTTTGGGGAGATGTTTAGACACAAATTATAATGTGTACCAACCCTGCTCTATCCCTGGAATCTTTCATTGTTCTAACAGAATCTTAACTCTATTATGTGGATAAGAGTATTAGAGACTAAAATGTAGATGTTAAATGTGCTTAGTGCATTGCATTTTTGTCATGCCTCTTTCAGCACAAACACCATATATACATATATGTAGGTAGATGAATACATGATAAAGATGCACGTTTCATAATAGAGGTATACATATGTATGTGTGTGTGTATGTATGAAGCAGTATCATAAAATGTAGTGAATATTTAAGTTTTTAAAAAATTTGTCACAGTGAAAGATACATTACCATTAATGCCCCCAAAATACTCCCTCTTGCTTTAAACACGTTTATCTCATCTCTCTTGCCACTTTCTGGATGAGTTCTGAAAGTTTTCTTTCATGAGCATCTTTAGCTATTCTGTTATGTGCCTCAACATCCTGAATTAATTTAAAATATTTACCTTCCATGGTTATTTTGACATTGGGAGGAGCCAGAAATCCCATGGCACTAGATCCAGTGAATAAGATGGATGAGAATGCACCATAGTATTTTTGTTTGAAGGGAATTTCCAAAAATGTTTTTAATCAGTTCAGAATATCAAGGCAACCAGGAAAAGACACTCCTGAAAGAGGACTTCCAGAGCTGTTTGAGACAGTGACAAAAATGATATGTGTCAAATGGGAGTATTTTGAGAGAGATTAATAGAAATGTGTATCTTTCACTGTAAATAATTATGTATTTTTATTCAAACATTATTGTTTCCAATCACACCTCATACACATATATACAACAAAAAATCATGAGTTCACAATGCTATACCTAATTTCACTCCACTTTATATTTTATTGCTTTCCACAATTCAAGATGTGTATACTACTTCCTATGCAGTTGAACAACCAGGCTCTCCAAGTCAACAGCACATATAGACATGTACAACAATATGTGCTTGTAAATACTCATGTACTTCACTAACTAAAATACTATGATAGCAATATGACAACTTGCTTAAAAGCATACTGAACAATCCAAATCCAGAACTTACCATTTTCTCTCTAGTTAACCTAGGACAAAGTCCCTCAGCCTCCATTTCCTAGATGTAAAATGATTATAATAGCAATACCTACCTTATATACATAGTTTGGGGAAGTAAAGGGGTAGAGAAGATTTCAAGAAAGAAAGAAAATTTGGAGTTGCAGCTTTTCCAGAACAAAAATAAAACATTATCTCGGTCACCTACTGAAACAGACTTCATCCTATATGTGATTGAAGAAAAAGAATAAAAACATTTGTAATTATAAAAATTTTCATTGGCAAACAAGAATACTAATTTCAAGAATGTATTTTTAAAATACTTAGGTGAAGAGAAATGTTATAAACAATTACTCAGCCTCTCTAAGCCTCATGGTACAGAGAAAAATTGTCAAAATATGTCACCTCATTTAATAAGAGCCTGGATTGAGCAACAAACTAACTGCTATGAGCATGAAGAAAGCACAGAAAAAGTCACTGTTTGAGGCTTCGTGGAAGATACTCCTGTTGGCATGTCTTAAGTGGAGTGTTGAAAGATAAGCAGGAGTCTACCAGGAAAAGAATTAGGGGCAAAGTGCAGTGGAGCAGGGAAACAAAAGGCCTGAAATATATCTTTCCCTTCTCGACTGTTCTCTTTTTAGTCAAACATATTTTCGGGTGCCATATTCATCCAGCTAGCCTTGGGATTGGACCTTTACCTGGCAATCTTCATCCTCTTGGCAATCACTGCTGTTTACACCGTCACTGGTGAGTCATTTTACTCTGTGGTGCTAACTTTTGCTTACCTGATGACAGCAACATGCAATTAGCAACCTTGGTCTTAGCCTTATCATTGACAAGGCAAGGATACCATTTCTTTTGCATTATGACAGTCAGAGAGTGGATTACAGTAAAGCAAGCAGAATCCTAAGTAATTGATGTGAGCAACTTGACAGAATAAAATGATGTACTGACTGGCGTGGGGAAACTATGCTTTAGCTTAGCTGTGTATTTGGTAACTAAAAGGTCATTTTAAATTCTTCATATCATATACACAGAAAATTTGGATAAAGGGGAAACTCAGCATGAAAAAGGTCGAGATGAGGCTCAAATTTATACAAGGTTCCAGTATGTAATAGAGAGCTGTGATTGGCACAGCTGAAAGAGTGCAACAGCCATAGCGTGAGTGTGGGAGTCCACGCAGGCTCCCAGGAATCAGGTATAGTGCTGGAGTGTCTCATACATTCTAATTTATGGAAACTAAACTATATCATCTTAGCTGTAAGAAGTAAAGAAAAATAATTCAAAAATTAGGATAGTTCTCAAGTTACTTTTGATATGAACATGTTTCAGATTAAATCAGAAACAGAGTCTTACTCTCCTGTTTTCCAGATATGCTTATTTCTTCCTGACCTTGTTATTAAAATTGCCTTTTCAACTGAGAATCTAGTAAACCTGAAATAGAAAACATCTTTTTATACATTACCATAAGCACAACTAAAGAACTATTTCAGGTATTCAACTACTAATACAATTATATGTCCCAAAACTAAGTAAGAAGAGATTTTCTAGACTTTTTAGAAACCAGATACACTGTGCTAAGTGGGGGGAATTGAGAAATTTAGACAAACTTTTATGATATCAAATTTTGTCTTTTCCCCATATAATATGCAGAAACACTCAAAGATAGAACTCCACAATAATACCTAGAAACTTTGAATAACAACAATGCAAGAGAAACAGAAAATCAATAAAATATATAAGTGCTAAGAGATAATAATGTCAAGACAAGTTATGTCTCAGGCCAAGGATACTGTTATTTTTTTCATAATATTGTGGTTTAATCCATAGAACTCCAGACCACAAATAGAAAGTATCCATTCTTATAGGAACCACCTATGTTTTCACACTGGTCAAATAGATTTGTTTGTTCAGATCCAAAAGACTAGCACTGCAACATACAATATGTGTGCATATGCCCACACACAACAACCCAAACACTTATTCCTTATCTGGTTTTCTAGCATTTCCAACTTTGCAGTAAAAGTTTCAGTACAGATCCTTTGTTCTGTCTGCATTGATACATATGTCATACTTGTGCAACTTTAAGGACCCCAATCAAATTTCAGGATCCAGAACAACCAATAGATCACAGAGAAGTTCACTATCACCACTCCTATTTAATATAGTTCTGGAAAAACTAGCCAGAGCAATCAGACAAGAGAAAGAAACAATAGAAATAGAGCTAGGCAAGGAAGAAGTTAAATTATCATTATTTATGGATGACATGATATGCTGCATAGAAGACCCCAAAACCTACCAAAAGAATTGTAGATTTCCTAACCAAATTCAGTTGTGTGGCTGGATACAAAGTAAGCACTCAAAAATCAATAGCATCCCTGTCCACAAGCAACAAAGTCACACAGAGTACAAGGATGAAAAACACCCTTTACAATAGCATCCAAATAAATGAAATATGTAGGGATCAGTAGATCTATATGTTGAAAATTACAAGGCCCTTTAAAAGGAGATTGAAGAATATATTAGAAAATGGAAAAATATCCCTTATTTTAGATAGGAAGAACCAACATTGTGAAAAGGACCATACTCCCAAAATTGTTATACAGATTTAATGCAATCCCAATCAAAATATGCCCCCACACAGCAACCCACATATTTATTCCTTATCTGGTTTTCTAGCATTTCTAACTTTCTTTATCTTTAGTTATACGAATATAAGATATGGGCATAAAGATAGCAAATTCCCCTTCTGGATATCATCCCAGAAGAATTTAAAACATCATACTACAGTGATATACGAGCACTCATGTTTATAGTGGCACATATCATTATCATGTTTCACAGAACTAGAGAAAATATTCCTAAAATCCATTTGGAAATGGAATAAACCTAGAATAGGAAAGGCAATCCTGGGCAACAAATGCAAGGCAGGGGATATCACAATTACTGACTTGGAATTATATTACAAAGCTACTGTGATAAAATTAGCATGATACTGGCAAAAAAAAAATAGACTTGAGGACCAGTGAAACCAATTAGAAGATTTAGACACAACTACAAACACACTTGATCACCTTATTTTTGACAAAGGGGCCAAGTATATTCACTGGAGGGTAGCCTCTTCAATAAATGGTGCTGGAAAAACTGGCTTCCTACTTGCCAAAAACTGAATTTAGACTCATTTCTATCACCAAGCACTGAACCAAAATCAAAACAGATTAAAGATCTAAATATTAAAACAGAAACACTCAAGCTACTTGAAGAGAAAATAGGTAGAAATCTTGAAGACATAGATGTAGGCAGACAGCTCATGATGTCTGACCAAAACCCACACTGACAGAAAAAACTTCAAAGATTCCACAACTGGGAACTATTTTTATTAAAAAGCTTTTGCACAGCAAAAGAAATCACCAACAGAGTAAGAAGACAACCCACAGAGCAAAAAGATTTTTATCCAGTTGTCCCTCAAAAAAGAACTTTCTAAAATATATAAATAATTGAAAAAAAATCAGACCCCACAATTCAAAGATCCAACCCAAAAATGTACATCTGAGATGAATATACACTTCCAGATGAAAAACACAAATGGCAAATAAATATATAAGAAATGGTCAACTTCATTGGGCATTTGAGAAATGCAAATTAAAATAGCACAGATTCTATCTGACCCCAGAAAGAATGGCTATCATCAAGAAATCAACTGATGACAAATGTTAGAGGGACTGTGGGGTAAAAGGAACCCTTCTCCAGTGTTTGTGGAAGTGCAGACTGGTGCAGCCAATGTGGAAATCAGTATGGAGACCCCTCAAAAAGCTAGTATTACAGGTCCTATTTGACCCAGCTATTCCCCTTCTGGGTATCTTCCCAGAAGAATTTAAAACATCATACTACAGCGATATATGTGCACCCATGTTCATAGTGGCACATATAATTTGTAATAGCTAAATCTCGGAAACAACCCAAATTCCCATCAATTGAGGAATGGATAAAAAGATGTGGTCTTTTTATACTATGGAGTGCTACTCAGCCATAAAGAAGGATAAACTTGAAACTTTGCTAAATGGATGCAACTTTAGATGATACTCATAAGTGAAATAAATCAGACTCACATGTGTAAACATCATATTGTCTCCCTAGTGTGAGAAACTGAAAGAGTAAATAAGGTCTAAAATGTACAATAGATATTGTGAAATGGAAAGAAATTGTTCAAAAGAAAAAATGTACTAGGATGGGAAAGAGAAAGGAAGGAAGGGGAAAGGAAAACAAATGCAAGATGGTTATACTACTAGTTTTTCATAGTTCATTGAACAAAATTTTTGTGCTACTATCATTTGGAGAATTTTTATACCCATATCTTATATTCTGTGTAACTAAAGATAACAATTCATGATGTATCAACTATTGTTATTCTCCTACTATGTTGTTTTGAAATTTCATTTTACTTTTTTTACATTAAAAAAAACAATTTCAGGAGACTCACACATATATGTTAAGGAGATTCAAAGATTTGCTAATCCTCTCACAGGGAGTGCTTCTTATATAAAAAGTTAGAAGGTGGAAAGTGAGTTCTGAGTGTGGTGCTCAGAAGCAGTTCCAAAAAGGTCAGCATTAGCACATTTACCCTGTGGGGCACTCAACAATGTGAGCAGAACAGCAGTGGAGACCCTTGCTCTGGAGGAGGAGAGGAAGCCTCAAGGAAAATGATGTGGCATTCACCACAAGCTCTTCTATGTCAAATTTTTATTAGAGTCCAGCATTGTAAATGAGCTTGTGGCCTCTAAGTACAAGCTCTCCTCATCAACACTTTGAACATTACAATAAACAAAAGCCTTCAACTATATCAAGTTGTTTGTTTATCACAACGGAACAAAGGCAGATTAGGTTTTTTAAAATTGGTGCTGAGATTGGCAGTCATGACAACTTCTCCACCTCTAAATGCACTCGTACAAAACTAGCATCAGTGATGGTTGCAGCGCTGCCCTCCATGAATGAATCCAGGTGCTCCCTGCAGGTAAAGACCTCATTGAAAAATAGCAAACTACTCATTTCTCAACGTCACTACAGAACATCATTATGCAAAGCCCAGGCCATCCTCAAAGCTTCTGGGGAGGAGGTGGGCCTTTGACATTTGTTCTTCTCTCATAGTTTTGGGTCAACATAACAAATGTTGAAACTTTTGAGTAGGGTTTTGTTTGTAGGAAAGCAAGTGTTTTCAAGAGATTTCTTCACACTTCTTCATGAACTGGCCAAAGAGAAATCCTAGGTCCTTGCTGCCACTGGGGTTGAGGAGTCCACGGTCCTTATCAATCGTTTTCTCAAAAGCAAATGACGTCCTCACCTCGCCATTCCTCAGGCGCATGCAGAGCTCCTCAGTAGAGCCTGGTGCAGCAGAGAACTAGTCCGGCTTTCTTGGTGCCCCCCAGAAAGGCTGACTCCTTCCTTTACTAGCTGGCTGTCCAGAGAGAACTGGAGAAAGGCAGGGGATGGAGCCTAGTGGGCGAGCCTTGCCCCCAGAAAGCGGGAGGTTGGGGGCCAGAAGCTATTGATTGCTATGTGTTTCGCTGAATCATTTTAACGTTTGGTGTAGAGGAGAGCCCAGAGGTAGAGGAAGATAAATCGGTACTCAAGGGTAAAATGTCCTGGTCTGTTGTGTTCTCTCCACAGGGGGTTTGGTCTCAGTAATCTACACAGACACTCTCCAGACCATCATCATGGTGATTGGTTCTTGCATTCTCATGGGTTTTGGTAAGTTGTGACAGTGTGATCAGTGCCCTGGGCCCTGAAATCGTGGAATATGTTTCTGTCTGCTTTGTACTTCTGCTCCCAGTTGTATTAGGTCACGTTTCCCTAGCACTTATACACTTCCCTTCATGGAAATGTCTGTCTAACTTCTTTCCTCCTATATGATCACAGTATGAGGAATTAGAAATTTTCTCTCAGAAAATTATTTCTTAAATTATTTTTAAACTTAATTTCTTTGTGTTTATAACGGACAAAATTGGTACCATTGTACCAATGGTAAATAGATTTCCAAATATTGATGCCATGGATTCAAAGCACATAAATCTTTCATTTACATAGAACTTTCATTATATTAAGGATTCAATATTAGGAAAAATTTAGATAACTTACTACAAATCTCATTATGACTGTTTTGAAATAAATGCATTAAACTATATTACAGAACTTAGTTTTGGAATATACAAGCATAGGTTGAATTTTCTTTTATGATGTTCATTTATTGATGCCATTATTTTACCTGATTCTCTTAAATTGTAACAAGCAAACTTGATCAATCTAATGTACAGCTTGCAAATCTTATTTTCTTTCTTATTTATTTTCCTTTGTATAGAAAACCATCTACACAACAGAAAAGATAGAAGGTAAAAGCAAATGTTTCCTGCCTGCCTTCTAGAGCAGTGCTTCACTCAGAGGTTCTGTGCTGAAATGAACAATTCCCAACACACATACACCTATTCACAAAATTTAAAGATACATGTATCAAAAATTCACATAAATACAAAGATGTATGATAATGCAAGGTGATTTCAACACAGTACAGATGGCATGATCCCCATGAGGCTATTTTAAAGTAAAGAAACTTAAATTCATTTCCCTATTTGCTTAAATGTATTTCAAATGTTTGATATATTACTAATGACTATTGCATGGGACAGCACAGATAGAACAATTTCATCAGTGCAGAATTTTCTCTTGCACAGTGATGCTATGGAGGCAACTGCTAGTACCAGTTTCTTGTACACATTCTATTTAGTCAGCCAGAATTTCTGTGCTATTTTTACCTGGTTCTTTGCCTTCTGACCTCAATGGAATACTCCTTGACTTCACTCTCTCTAAGCATACTTATCCAGTGTAGCATGAGTGCAGATTCTCTTAGTTCTTATTATCCATGCCATTTTTTTTTTGCAAATCCTATTTCTTTAAAAAAAATTTTTCATTGTATTACTTCTGTCTTCCACTATGCTGAGTTCCTGCCTTGAAAATTCACTTTGAATAACCTCAGCTCATTTGGCACATGTACAATTAAATAATAATTAAATCAGTGTTAACTTTAACTCTGCAATTTTATGACATTCTAATGTATTCTGTATGCTTTGTATCTATACGAAATGGTTTTAGATGCCTGGGATCATAACTATAACTTTTGAGTACTACTGACTAGCTTTTCCAGACCTTCAGTGCACTGAGTATCAATATCTAACTTCATTACATTGTGACGCTAGCTCTAATTTTTTCTTCATCTTTCCTATTTTTTCTTTGTTTTAACATCGGCTGAATACACTGTTGCACCACAAAACACTGTGAATAAGATCAGAACAGGGAAGCTCTGGGTTGAGGTTTCTGATCACTAATTCCATCCATGATTTTTAAAATAAAGCTGGATTTTAAACAAAATTTTAAAGAGTACCATAAAAATAAATGTTAAAGAATCACTTTATGTTCTTTGTGAAAGTCAATCTGTTCTCATGGATGACACCACTTGAGGTTAAAAAAAAAAAAAGACATGGGTCACAGGAAAATGTCACTGAGGATTTTAGTAACCTACTTGGAGGTGCCTATAAACCTGCACCATAAATGAGTAATCATAAACATCAGGTGTCCTAAGTTTTCCTAACACATTTTTTTTATCTGATGCCTTTTCAGCATTCACTGAAGTTGGAGGATACGAGAGCTTCACGGAGAAGTACATGAATGCCATCCCTTCTGTAATTGAAGGGGACAACTTGACAATCAGTCCCAGTTGCTACACACCTCAGCCATACTCCCTCCACATTTTCAGAGATCCTATCACTGGAGACATTCCATGGCCAGGATTGTTATTTGGAATGACCATTTTAGCTGTGTGGTACTGGTGCGTAGATCAGGTGAGTAAATGTGTGTGTGTAGGTGTTTATCTCATAGACAAGCATCTACCTTTTATTTTGTACACACATACACAGCAATCGGGGTCAAACATTTTTTAATGCTTCTTAAGAAAAATAGCTTCCTTGTGTCTTCATCTCTACCTTATTTCCTTTACCTCAGAGATAAAACTTTCAGCTCTTTCAAATAAGTGCCTTGGTATTTATTTCTGCTCTCCAAAACTTCATATTCATTGTGAGGTCTGTGAAGTATGAGCATGAATGTCATCTTGCAGATCCTAGAAATAAACTCTCAGATCCTATTGAGACTCACTGAATTGGAATTATAGTGTTAACTGCATCCCTCAAGTGATTCAACTACTTACATTGATCTCTTGCTTTTCCAGTGTCAGGATTTTCTCTGAGCTTCTCTTGACCAAAGATGAGAATTCACCTTTCCATCCTCAATTCTCATAGGCACATTTCCTATTTAGTTCTCCTTCTAATAATTTTAATAATTTAGTTCTCCTTCTAATAATTCACAATGTTGGAGACCTCAGCATTCAATGTTACTGTTTTTGTGATTATATAAAAATAAATCACTACTGAGTTACAAGATATCATTTGATTGATTTTTCTTTAGCTTTCTCTTTTCTAGGAAGTAAAGTATTCTCATTTTTGCTGTAAACTTCTTTTGGTAATTATGACTCTATGCAAGCTCTCTGAAAATTGCTGAAGTCTCTTCTTAGTACTTTTAAAGAGAAGAGAAACATCAGCAACAAAAAAGAATATAAGGCTCCTGATATCCCACTCCCCACAAACACACTGAGTAAACATTTACTCACGAATTCATTCTCTTGAACAGAAATCAAGGATTCAGTTAAAAGAGTCCTACACACTGAAAAACTGAGAAAAATCTCCATCAAAATGATATAGGAGAAAGAAACTCCCAACCTGCTAGGTATCTGGGACAAATTGATGTTCTATAAAATTGAAGAATGAATTTTAGAAACAGTTGAAGTTAAAAGCAGAATATATTTATTGAGGGAAAGAAAGCTTCTCTCTGAGAGAAAGAGACAGAAGGGGATCCAATTGGTTTGCCAAAGAACCTTACTTTTCTAGGGGTTTTTATAGAGCAAATCCATAAGCTGAGGCAGATCCAAGGTGGAAAACATAGAAACTTGCAAGGTGAGCATGAAGTGGGACAAAACTATGGCCAACCAATAAGGTTACAAATATCATTTCTCACATAAAATTGATTAAGTGGGAATCAAATAGGGAAACAAGTCAAGAGGCAAGTGGGTATGAATACAGAACAAAGGGTCTTTTCCTATAGGGGATTGAGTTAATGATTCTTTCTGGTATTCTCAAGGTGATAGAGACCTATTTAGAATATCAGTCCCTGATGTTTATCCTTACAGAGGTATGTGGGTACTTTTGGTTTGTCTTTTGTCCTGAGGTCTGGCCCACAACTGGAGGTGTCTGTCTTTCCCACAGTTGCAAGGTATCTTGTCTTCTGCACTGGCTCTTTTGAGGGCCTAGCCCTGTGTTGTAGTTTGGGGTTTTGCAAGGGCAAATAATACAATGCAAGACACCATAGTTCATAGAATTATTTTATAATAGTCACCCAAAGAATCACATACAAAGAGAGTGCAGGAAATCTGTCCATACACTAAAGACCAAACAATCCAGCCAAGGGTCTGGATCCCATGGAACTGTCTTGCATTAGTCCAGCTGAAGACCTAGAGCTCATAACAATGTCTTCCGTGAGTCCAACTGGAGGCCTAGAGCCCATGACAACATCTCGTGCAGGACTGTTTCACAAGTCTGTGCTGGGAAGGCCCAAAGTTCAGTGTTGGAATCTAGAGAGTCTGCACCAGCTAAATTAAGGATCTGTGCTAAGAGGCTAAGGGATCTGCACTGGAGCCAGGAAGTGACACTCAAAGTAGGAACCAGAGCTCCCCCCAAAACTACCACAGCCATCCTCAGCAATAGTGAGGTCCTGAGATCCTCTGACAATCATAACAGCCAAGTTCCCATCAGAAAAGCCAATGTGACAAGCTTCTCCAGGAGCAGCGCACCATCTTTCCCTCCAGAGCCAGAAAGCAATGCTCAAAGTGAGGACCAGAGCTCCCCCAAAGTGAACCATAGCCATTCTCAGTTGCACTGAGGTCCAAGTTCCTCTGATAAGAACAGCTGAGTTTATCAGAGAAGCCAGCATGACAAGCTCCTCTAGCAAAACCAATAGCTCCCTATACCTTCTAATAGCACCCAAGAGCTTCTAAATTTCTTCTACTCCAGCTCTGATTCTTATGCTGCTGTCAACAATCATGAGGTTGGCCTCCCACACCCAACACCATGCTGACTTAGTTCAGCTGCATGTTACAAGTTGACCACCAGTTGTCAATCCACAACACCCTGTCTCACTGCCTATATTTCTGTCTAACTCAGCTGCCTACAAGAAAAATAGCTAGGAAAGTCAAAGAAACAATCACAAATTCACCTTTTTTGTGAATTTCGTTTTGTGAATTTCTCCATTAGTCAATTGATTTCTCACAAAAATTCCTAGAACACATATACTTTTCAATAAACACTGGAGTACTGGAGAAACCAGATATCTACCAAGCATAATAATAAATCTACACTTCTCTCACCAGTTACAAAAATCAACTCAAAAAGAATTAAATAACAATGTAAGACTCAAAGCTGCTAAAACCAATGGAAGAAAACAAAGTAAATTCTCCACGATATTGTTAAGGGTAGAATTGTTAGATGACATCTCCAAAGTACAGGTAACAAAAATAAAAAGAAATAAAGGAAATTGTACACAACTAAGAAGCTTCCGCACAGCAAAGGAAATACTCAGCAGAGGAACAAGCTGAAGAATGAGCCAAAATGCTTGCAAACTATACACCTGACAAGAGATTAATATCCAAAGTATATTTTTTAAACTCAGCCAAAAAGAAAACAAGTAATGTAATTTTTAAGAGTGCAAATGACCCGAGTTGATTTTCTCTAAAGAAATGGCTATCAGCTATATGAAACAATACTGAAAATCACTTATCATCAAATAAATACAAATCAAACCCACAATAAGCTATCACCTCATTAAAGTTAGAATGACTATGATCAAAAGAAAATAATCACAAATGCTGGCAAGGATGTATAAAAAGGAGAACTCATACATTCTTTATGGGAATATGAATTAGTGCATGCTATATTAATAATGGCTTGAAAGTTACTCAAAATTAAAAATAAAACTACCATGTTTGTCCGGCGCCGTTTTAGTAAGAACTTAGTCGCAAATGAGTCAGCTCTCAATGTTTATTATGTACAGCGCTGTTGGATCTGACAAGATCCTCCACCCTCATCTATCCTTCCCTTCTCTCCCTTTGGGGGCAGAAACGCACACTTATATAAGGTCTGAGTAGCCAATCAATGCAAAGCAAGGGTTACAAGCTGATAGGTCAGAATCATCAGTATCCAGGCAGACACACGTTTTACAAGGTTGTTTACGCGGCAACAAGAACCCGGAAGCAGGAAACAGGCGCCATCTTAGGGGAGCGGCTAAGGCAGCTCCCAACACATGTTAACCATCAATTGGGTATATATCAAAAGAAATAATATATCAAAGTGGTATTTCTATGCTCATATTTATTACAGCACTATTCACAAGAGCCAAGAAGTCAAGTCAACCTAAGTGTCTTTTGATGAGCAAAGTGGATGTATATATATATATATATATATAAAATTAAATCCTGTGATTGTGATAACAAGGATGAACGTGACTATTGCATTAAGTGAAACAAGACAACCACAGAGTGACAGATACTACCGAATGTCACTCATATTTGGAATCTCAAAAAATGGATATCATATAAGAAGAGAGTAGAATAATGGTTACCAGAAGCTGGAAAATACATTAAAGGTGAAGGGAAGATTTTCCAGTAAATACTAAACTGTAGTGTTCTATTATACAACAAAGTATATATATTTAAATAATATGTAATAATATATAATATGTACTTCAAGGTGCCTAAAGGATTTTGAACATTCTTACTACAAAAAAATAATCATTTGAGACCATGAATATTCTAATTACTCTGATCTGATCAATACACAGTGGACAATGCTGAAACATATTGTGCACTGTAAGGACATGCAATTGTTGTGAAAATTAAAAATATGAAAGAGTAAAAATACTTGAAAACACATAAACTACTCTTCCAATTCCTTCTCATTTTCTGCCAGATCCTTTGCTTCTTCCAGGCTGACACCTTGCCTACTATTCTTGGTACCCAACCTTGCCCAACTTTTCATTAACTACCATTTTGGGGGCTCCTTTCCTCTCACTATTGTGTTGTATTTTCTTTTTCCAATGTAGTTTTTCACTTTTAGCATATCCTTTCAGTGTAACCAAACCCAAAACCTTAAGTAGCTTCCTGAGACAAGCCAATACAGTGTAAATTTATTGTGAATTTGCAAGTTTGAAAATGTCTTCACTCTTCTTCCTTAATTGAGAGCTTGCCTTGGACACCTGTCTAGATTGAAAGGTTTCCCAAAGTCAGAGAGTCATTGTCCTCTGAGTCAAATCATTACTCTTGAGAAACTTGTCATTATTCTTGATCCTTTGTATATGACACCTTTTTCTCTCTGGTAACTTGTGTTTCCTTTGTCTTTGAGGATCTTAAATTTCAACACAAGGGTACTATTGTATGGGTCTATTTTCTCTGTTGCAGTGGGTAACTGTGATTCTGTTTAATGAGATAATTGATATTTTGGATACTTTGAAGAAAATCTTCCCTTGGTTTCCTCCATTTTATTTTCCTTTGGGGACCTTCTGTTTTGGGATATGGATCTCCCTCAGCTGGCTCTGATGTTCTTATCTTTTCTATCTCATGGTTTCTTTTCTCTCTTTTCTAGGAGATTTCCCCAATTTTAGCCTCCAGTTTTTCTGCCTTTGTGTTTAGAATTTCAAAGACCTTCGTTATTGTTGCTGTTGTTGTTTTCAAAATATTTCTTTTAGTGCCATCTGAATTTTCTTTGAGTTTTGCTTATTCACCTATTCCCTAAACAGTCTCTGTGAACTTCAGGCTTTTAATTTCACATATTTAGATTGCCTTGAATAATAGTTACAATTTTATTTTCTGTATGTAATAAATTGATTTTCTCAATATATCTAGCAAAAAGTGCATCATTTCACCTAAGATTTTTGGAATTATCTTTATTACACATGTATTTATCCATGAATACGACTTGTCTCCTATAACTGGCTTCACATTCATCATTGGATCTGACACTTGACTGCTTGTCTATTGACTGGGCTTCCCTCCTCACCTGTGACTTTTCATATGTCCTTCAAAATGTCTATTAATAGTCCTCCAGAAATATCATCTGCTCCTGTATTGATGAATAATGCTGTTTGCTGTTCCTAATGGATTGCTTCTCCAAAGAAAATAAGCATAAAATGTTCTGACAGTTCTTGAGAAGAAAAATATCAAGAAGTTATCACAGTGTGGATAGAAATCCTGTCTTTCTAAAGATTACTTAGTAGTAAGATTTTATGTGTTAAATTAAAGTGATGATATTATATGCATTATTTTCCTAGTATTATCATTTTTATTCATAATTATATGCCAGTATCATCATATTCTGAAGAAATCTGGAAATGAATGTAGCATAGTCTATTCTCATGGCTTCCTAACTATGGTGTTTTCACAGGAACTAGCTTAATTTCCCAAGAAGTCAATTAGCTCATGACAACAGGGAGATCCTGATGGTGTCAATATTAACAACAAAAGTATTAACAATATTAACAACTTCTGTTAGAGTCTATAGTAATGTATTTGAAGCTGGAGAAGCATTCTACCATTGTTGCCTTGCAGCATGGAAATTCTAAACTTATTTTAATAATAGATTATATATATATATATATATATATATATATATATATATATATTGTACCAAAAGAATAAATCAACTCCTGACCTTACTCAAAAGTCCATTATTTTCCACTAATTGTGACAATTTTTATTGTAATAGTAATTCTAAAGAGTGATATTTACCTTGCTTGAAATCATTATCTGCTTTTTTCATGACTATGTCCTATTTCCCTGGAAGGTTGTTGTACAGCGTTGTCTGTCTGGCAAGAACATGTCTCATGTGAAGGCGGCCTGTGTCATGTGTGGCTACCTGAAGCTGCTGCCCATGTTCATCATTGTGATGCCAGGAATGATCAGCCGCATTCTGTATACAGGTAACATATACATCCATATCTCATTCTTATGCTTAAATTCTAAGTGTTTTTAATATATAAGAAAACAGTGATAAATTAGAAAAACCAGGGTGGAAAGCAGAATTCCAGATGAAAGAAACCACTTGTATGGAGAAGATTAGAGGCAGGAACATTTAGTATATTTAACACCGTTCATATGTGTATTCTATTCTGTTTGTCTTGTAGGCTTTCAAGACAGTGAGTCCTAGTTTCCTGAATGTATTTACTTTAATGTAGTCTAGAAAATATGGCAGAAGGTCACTGACAATTGAGTTAAAATTCAATAAATATGAGTTCTCTGATGTAATTGAGTTTGGTGATATATTTGATCAGTCTTTGAGATGCATTCTAAAGTTTTGGTCCATATTTGATATAAATATGAAATGTTTCCCAAAGATTCATATATCAAGGGTTTGATCTTCAGTTCAGCAATCTTCAGAGGTGGGGCCTAGAGCTGATGATTGCACCTTAACAGCACTAGTCCATTGATAAATGCATACCTATTGGGAATAGGAGGTGGGGTCTCTTTGGAGTAAGTAGATAACCAGGTACATGAGCTAGAAGAGTATATTTTTAATATCCTGTCTCCTGCCTCTTTTCCTCTGACTCTTTCAAAGTCTAGCTCTGCTTTCTGGCTGCCCCAAGGTGAGCCTCTTTCCCTTCGCACACAGTTCTGCCAGGATGTTTCTGTCTCACCACAGGCCTAAAGCAATGGAGCTAGCAGACAAGAAACTGAAACCACTAGCCAAAATAAGTCCTTCCTCTTCTAAACTGTTTGTGTCAGGTATTTGGGCAGAGTAGCAGAAATCTGACTGACAGAGTCCCTCTGAGACAACTATAGACTGAATCAATTCAGTGTTCTGAATCAGGCTGATGGGAAATTACACTGTAAGTCAGATGAAAGTGATTACTACTAATGAAGTTTTTCCTTAAAAATGTACTTTCTAATATTTTTGTCACCACCATTGTCTAGAGGAAGCAGCATTCACAGGTCACTCTGATACCAAATTAGGAAGTAGGTGGCTGCCAAGGATGGTAGCAAGACCAATTATGGGAATACAGCCATATAACCTGAACAAGATAGTGAAGAGGTGAAAAATAGAAATGTAGGTAAATAGATTTAAAAACAAAGCTACTGCTCAACCACAATGCTACACGTAGTTCAAATCTGAAGATTGCATTGCTTTCCCTTCTGTTTAATTGCTTGCCCTCCCTACTGGTTCCATTTTATTGCTGTTCTTGGAATTGTGGTCATTTTTATCCCTTTCTAGAATATCTTTCAGTACTCTTTGTAGGGTTGAATTTGTGGTCATGAATTTTTTCAGTTGTTCATTCACAAGCAAAAAACACACTGAGAAAGAAATTATAGAAATCACACCTTTCACAAAAGCATTGAAGAAATTGAAATACTTAGAATCAATCTAAGAAATGAAGCAAAAGATCTATACAGTGAAAATTATAGTACTCTTTAAAAAAGGATCAAAGAGGATTTCAGAAAATGGAAAGATATTCGCTAGTCATGGATTGGAAGAACCAACATTATCAAAATGGCCATGCTCCCAAAATTGTAATACAAATTCAATGCAATCCTAATCAAAATATCATTAGTATACCTCATAGATCTAGAGAAAACATTCCTAAAATTCACCTGAAACCACAGGAGACCCAGAATAGCAAAAGCAATCACAGGCAACAAAGGCAAGACAGGAAGCATCACAATCCCTGACTTGAAATTATACTTCAAACCTACTGTGATGAGATCATCATGATATTGGCAAAAAAAAAAACAAAAAACAAACAAACAAAAAAAAAAAACAGATCTGAAGATCAGTGGAACAGACCAGAAGATGCAGCCACAACCGCAAACACACTAAGCCACCTTATCTTTGACAAAGGGGCTAAATATATTCACTGGAAAAAAGATAGCCTCTTTAATAAATGGTGCTGGAAAAACTGTGTTTCCACACGCTGAAGACTAAAACTAGACCCATGCTTCTCACCATGCAACAAAATAAAGTCAAAATGGATTAAAGATCTAAACATTAAAATAGAAACACTAAATCTTCTGGAAGAAAAAGTAGGTAGAAGTCTTGAAGATGTAGGGATAGAAAGAGTTCATGAACAAAATCCAAACTGCACAGGAAATACTTCAAAGAATTGACAACTGGAATCTCATCTTATTGAAAACTTTTTGCACATCAGAAGAAATCACCAACAGATTAAAAAGAAAACCTATGAATTGGGAACTGTCCCTCACACAAAGTTCTTTGATCAAGAGCATATAAGGAATTCAAAAAATTAGGCCCCCAAAATACACCCACAAAATTAGACCCCCTCAATTCAAAAATGGGCATCTGAGGTAAATACACACTTCTCAGATGAAGAAATACATATGGCAAATAAATGTATAAAAAATGTTCAACATCATTAGTCATTAGAGAAATGCAAATTATAACAACAATGAGATTTCATCTCATCCCAGAAAGAATGGCTATCATCAAGAAATCAACCAGTAACAAATGCTAGAGGAGCTGAGGGGGAAAAGGAACTTTTCTCCACTGTTGGTGGGAGTGCAGTCTCGTGCAATCAATATGAAAATCAGTGTAGAGATTCCTCAGAGAACTAGGATTAAAGGTCTCATTCAACCCAAACTGTCATAGCTAAATCTTGGAAACAACATAAATGTCCATCAATTGAGGAATAGATTAAAAATTATGTGGTATTTTTATACAATGAAGTATTACTCAGCTACAAAGAAAGATAAATTCCAGGATTTTATAGGTAGATGGATGCAATTAGAGACCATACTCATAAATGAAATACAATGGGCCCCAGGTGTAAATCAATAAATAAATATGGTCTCCTTAGTGTATTTGAAAGAGTAAATAAAATCTGAAAAGTACAATAGATATTGTGAAAGGAAAAGAAATTGCTCAAAAGTAAAGAACTATGATGAGGGAAAGGATGAAAAAGAAAGAAGGAAGGAAAAATATATATATATATAATACAAGATAATTTTTATCAATATAAATTATATATAAATTATATAAATATAAATTATCAAAAGATAATTTTTATTATAATATAAAATTATAATATAATGCAAGATAATATAAAATATATATATACAAGATAGTTAAGATAATTGTACTACTAGTATCTATTACTTTATTGAAAGGAACAGTTAATGCTTAATTTTTTGACCAATTTTCCATGTTTATATGTGGTAATCTGTACAACTTATTTGAAGACAGTAACAATATGCAATATAACAACCCTTGTTGAATTCATAGCATCTTGTTTCTCCAAATTCTGTATCACTTCTAATTTTTTTTATTATTTTTTATTCTCTTTAAAATAAAAAGAAAGTGGGTAAACATTTGGGATGATGAGAGTCTTATCTCCCCAGTACCACACGAGTTAGGGAACACAAGCCGGAGAAAAACCTAGAATACTGTCCTGGAATACAAGGACCCATGAGTATATTAGGACAGATATAGACTGCCAGATAGGCAGTAGCTGTCCTTTCCCCAATCCCAGCTGTTATGTGTCTGAGGGAGATGGAGAGAATTCCAGCACAGCTGGGAGTGAGAGTCCAGAGACAGAACGAGAGTAGAATGGGATGGAGCTTAACATAGAGGCCATGACTGCCCCTATGCAGCCTGGGGATTGAGGCTACAACTCATCTGAGAGCAGTGCTGCATCTGCTGCAGAGGCAGAGGTAGATGTGAATGTTAAGAGCCTAACTGAGACCCACTAGAGAGAATAGTTCATGCAGCATTCTATGGCCCCTAAGAATGCTAAAGGCTCCTAAACACAATAGTCTAATAGCAACAGCATTAACAAACTACTCTGGAATACTCATCCTAGCCAATAGGGCAGGACAATCGTGTTCTTTTATTCTCTTTGCTTGTTCTTCT